ATCGTCATGAGGTATTTCACAAATACAACTGAGATATGTAACAAACGCAGCAAGAACAACTTTGTTATGCTGCCTGGTCCAAAAAGCAATGTTTTTAGCATATGTTGTTAATGGAAGCCTTAGCTGTGCTTGATCGCTTCCCAAATAATCTGTTTAAACACCAAGCATTAGGCTCAAAAGCTGAGCACTTTCGCAGAGGAGGTGGGTTAACAATTCACAATACTAAATACTGCTTGATCTGCTGAGACATTCAATCTGGCAAGAGCATGATTTTACTTAAGGGTGCTTTGAGTAAGGAAGTTGCCAGAGGTGGGATGCTTTCCTCCTGGCTGAGGTCAGGCTGCCGGAGTTGGCTCTTCTGCTGTTACATGGAGTCCTGCCATCCCCTTCCTTCGTGGTCTTGCTGCTTTTAGCTGTGTGTTTGCATGCATGTGTGTGTATTCATGTCTGAGCTCCCCTTTCCTGGCAGCTGCTCTGGGTGGGTTGTGGATACATTTTCTGGAGCCTCCCAAAGCACTGTTACTGCTTCCCTGGTGTACAAGGAGCAGCTTCATTTTCTAGAGAGATGCATCCAGTTGAAATGTGCACCATTACTGGCTAAGGAGAAACAGAGCTTTCCTCTAGTATGTCAGTGCATGGATACTGTCACTTCTGTGGTGCCTCTGAGGCCTGCCTGTCAAAGGCAAGAACATGAGGGAGCTGCACTGATAGTGCCTTTCCTCTTGCACACATCCTGCATGGGGCAGATTAGCTGCGTGCTTTCTTGTGATGTGCTCGAGCAGAGTCTTGGAGAAGGGTGGAAAATTTGTCCAAGCATTGCTGCTTCAACAGAAAGCTGTGTGAGTTCCCCTGCTTTTAGTAGCATGTATCTTTCTTTTACTGCTGCTAATGCAGAAAGCAGCTGATGGTATTCTGTGGAGCTCACATTATTTTTATAGTGCTTTGTCTTTGGAATAAACCAGAGCATGCTACCTGTCAAGAGTGGCAAGGATTTTAGAGAGGAAGACAGGCCATGAATTCTCTTGGGTGCTTTTCACTTCCTCCAGATCTCCGAGATATGCAGAGTGCTATAGTGTGCCATCAGAAACAGAGCAGCTCCTTAAAAATAGAAAGGATTGCCATTTGTCATTTTAAAGTGCCTTCAGCATGCACACGCCTATTTAGGTTGTTAGATCATTTCGTCATGCACTTGTGCAACACCTCGTCCCAATCCATTAATTGCAGCTCTTTCCCTCTGCTGTAATACAAACAGTGATGATAAATTAATGTCTGGCTTGGCAATATTGCTACAGTCTCCAATTATAAGAAAGTGTTTTCATTTAGAAAAGATAAATCAAATGGCAGATTCCATTGTCTCTCACTCTTCCTGCCTCTGAGCAAACTAGTCCTTGTTGTCAACTGTGTGACTTGATGCAAGGGAGGATGACTCCTGCCCTTAAGATAAGGGTAGCACGTCAGTAGTTTTTTTTTTCTAGGGGGGGGGATCTTTTCTAGATTTGTTAACTAGTTCAAAATAGAAAAGGAAAGGGCACTCTCTTGAAAACAGTAGACAAAGGTTTAAACAGTAGCAAGAATAAGAGTGGGCAGAAGTGAAATGCATTGCAAACATGATGCTCATTCCAAAACCCAAGTCACCAGCACTGGAATGACAATAGGTTGTTGTTGTTCACACTTGATATTCTTGGAGTGTTTCTATAATTGATGGAGAGTGGACAAGCCAGAATCTCCAGATAATCAACTTCTTTGGACGTGCCTTCACAAGGCAAACGCTGCTGCCATTGTCCTTGGTCTGGTCAGATTGAGCTCACCTAACACAATGGCTGAGAACAAGATGACTGACATTACTTGGACATACTTTACCAAGAATAAACATCCACAGAACCACTGTTCTTTACTGCTGTCAAGGGCTCCCTGAATTTCCTGGAGAGTTGAGAATCAGCTGCTAGCAGCACCCCTGTGATCTGCTGGGTGGTTGCACTGGCACTGTTTCAGAAAGGACCACATTACCTTTAGGCTGCGACAGTCTATAGGCTAAGCATGTGTTTTTGCCCATATTACAGAAAGCCATGGTACACAAGGGTTGGTAGTATTTTCATGCCATGCATATGGCACAAGACTATGATAAATACACATGACTATTTTGGTCAGTGTCCTCACAACATGAGACACAGAGTGAAAGCAGGGAGCCTTTTCATGCAGCTCTATTTGATATCTGTAAGCCTGTGGAGAAAGGCAGAGAGCTGGGAAGACTGAATGGGGTTCTCCATCACAAAAACCTCAGAGAATGGCTTAGGTTGGAGGGGACTTTAAAGATCATCTAGTTCCAACCTCCTGCCATGGGCAGGGCTGCTAACATCTAGATCAGCCTGTCCAGGTTCCCATCCAACATGGCCTTGAGCACTTCCAGGGATGGGCACCTACAGTCATTTTGGGCAACCTGTTCCAGCACTCTCTGAGTAAAAAATGTCTTCTTAACATCTAACTTAAATGTATTCTCTTTTAGTTTAAAGCCATTCCCCCTTTTCCTGTCACTATCAGACTGTGTGAGAAGTCAGTCTCCCTCCTGCTTGTAAGCTCCTTTCAAGTATTGGAAGGCTGCAACAAAGTCTTCCCAGAGCCTTTCCTTCTCCGAGATAAACAAGATGAACTCTCTCAGACTGTCTTCAGGAGAGGTGCTCCAGCCCTCTGATCATCCTTGATCATCTTCCTCTTTACCTGCTTGAGCAGCTCTGTACTGAGGGCCTCAAACCTGGATGCAGTCCTCCAGATGGGGCCTCAGAGCAGAGCAGATGGAGACAATTGCCTCCTTTACCCTGCTGGCCACCTCTCTTTTGATGCAGCCCAGGATGCTACTGGCCTTCCAGGCTGCAAGAGCTCACATGCAGATTTCTGTCCCTCAGATCTCCAAATCCTTCTCCACAGGGCTGCTCTCAAGGTGTTCTTCTCCCAGTCTGTACTCATATCTAAGATATCCAGCCTCATTAAACTTCATTAAATTCTCATGTGGTTGCTTTTTGAGCTTTTCCAGGTCCCTCTGGGTGGCATTGCTCTCTTCTGTTGTGTCAGCTGCACCACTCAACTCAGTGTCAACAGCAAAATTTGCTGAGGGTCCAATCCTGCCGTTTATGTCATTGAAAAGGTGTAGAAATCATGTGTAGAAACCTCTGAGTTACAGACAGCTGAGGGATAGCCAAGACAGGAGGATACAGGGAGTGCTTACATACAAGTGGAGGAGTGAAGACAGCATGGGTAGCCATACCTCCTCTTTATAACTCCCAGCTGCTGCTCCTTGGACAAGCTCAGTTTGCAGAGCACAAAGTCTGCATGACAGTCCAGCAGCTGGGAGATATAAAGTTAGGGAACTGAGTGCAATGTGTGTTAAACCATGAAAACACTGCAACGGAGTCCAGCCCCTCCCCATCATCTTCCCTGCCCAGACTACCTTCAGCACCATTAATCTCAAGGAAAAACTGTATTGGCCTTTGAGCTAGGGCTTTCCTCTCTGATTACACTGTTTGGACGAGGCAGTGCCGGCTAAACTCCAGCTGCTTGAGCAGCACATTACAGGCACTCCCATCCCCAGCTGGAGGATGCTATGTTAGGGGACTGCCACCTGGCAGCATCTTAAAGGAACTGCAAAAGGCTGAGCAGAGACGGAGGTCAGTGAACCTGCTGGGAAACTTACAAGTGCACACAGGAAAGAGTGATCGGGGTTGAACAAGAATGATGTTGCAGATTGCACTATCCTGAATAAATGTGCTGCTGCACGATAAAAGACAGTATGTGATGAAACTTTTGATACAATTGCCATCTTATCAGGGACTTTCCCACTCACTCAAGAAGTTGGTTTTCCTTAGAGAAAAACTCCACTGTTTTCCCTATTCTAATTCAAGCTGGCTGAAGCACTGTGACCTAGCTGTGCTCAGTCTCTGCCCCTTTTATCCAAGGGAAGGGGGCAAAGCAGAGTGTAGGACTTTCACTTTGTGCAGATACCTCCAGGGAGGCAGGTCTCATCTTGTGTTCTTGCTCCTGGGAAAGTGAAGAAGACCAAAGGTGACTGCTTTCCTAGAGAGTAGAGTGGGGTGATAGAACAATAAAATAATATCCCTTGGCTAAGATCTAGTAACCCAACTTCTTTCACTACCAGGTCTTCAGCTTGGTCTCTTTGCCTGTGTTAGCTTATATTGAGACAAGCTGGCTGACAAAACAATGAGCATCTAACTCCTTAACACATGGTTTGGGTTTTCCCTAAAACATGTCTCTCCACCAGCTTTTGAAAACAGCTGACTTTGAAAGGGAGCACACTGCAACATTTCAGAAGCCTTCAGCTCTCCTTCCCTTTGAAAAGAGTTCTCTGTTACCAAATATCATAAAAAATATACTTCCAAGCTTCTGTTTGTAAACAAAGATCTGCAGGAACAAGTCAAACTTAATGCTTATGTGAACCTGAGAATCTTTTGCCCATATTCACTATGATAAACAGGTGAAGGACTCTTGACCAACCAGTGAGCTCTAGTCATTACTATTGGTAGTAGTAGTTGGATAGTTTTTTGTTAATTTATGAATAAATTTGCACCCATGGAAGAGCTTGAGAAAGAGAGAGAAAGAGCTAGAGAGAGGAGTCCCTTTTTAATTCTAGAGCTGGCACAGATAGTAAACCAAACTTCCTTACCATGTCATTAAAACACCTTCAGCTACAGTCTCTTAGGACCAATGTTTGATGTGCCAGCTCAGCTAAGCCAACTGAGCCAAGAATGCTCTGTGTGTGCCCATATATTGAGGCTGTCAAGATGTTTGCCAATTAATGGCATTTTTTAAACAAGGTTTGAGGAAAGCCTAGTCTGCTGGTCATAGAGGTCATCTAACCTAGATCATCCAACCTAGCTGATGATCTAGATGTGAAAGGTTCTATGTATTCCCCAGTAGATGCCCTGTGCCTCCTAGATCCATCCCCCAAACATGGTGGAGCTGAAGGCAAAGGGACAGCTATGATGACTTACCACTCTGTGTGTGCATCATCAATAACCAGGAGGATCTTGGGTTTCTGAGCCACAGGTGGTGTAGTACTTGTTGAATGATCAATCAGTCCTGCAGCTGCTTGTGTGGTTTGCTTCATGGCACTGGAGATGGAGCTGAAAATGCTGGTGCCAGTAGAGGAAGACTGCGAGGGCTGCGGTGGTTGTGGGTGCTTTCTCTCCATGGCAGGAGAAACTGGGGAGCTTGTGGAGTTGTCAGGACGCTGCAAGTCCATCATGTAGCCATTGGGCAGATTTGCCACAAAACTACTGTCTGACAGACGTCTCCGGAGGAAATTCATTGTTGTAGTGTTGTGTGGAAACCTCAGCGAGAACAAGACTCTGATGGGGTCACCAGTCCTGCAAAAACACTTTTGTGTATGTAGGGAACTTTGCTGTTATCCTGGTAGGTTTTCCTTCTTGAAATCCTGCTGGAGAAATATGTCTTTGTTTTTCAGTTACGTTTCCTTTCTTTTCCTGTGGAAAGAGAGTTAAACACATACATGTGGGATACATACTGTGAATTTTGCATAACGAAGACTATTCTGGCCTTTTAAATGAGTACATTAATCAACAGTGCGAGGGTAAAGGAGTGCTTGTTTCTCTGTGGCATGCTACATTAGTATAAACAAGCAGATGTGGCAAAGTAGATTTCAGGGCCTCTTGCCCATCTCAAAACAATTTTCAGTCAGGGCTGACCAGCTTAGGCACTGACAATCCAGAAGAAATGGAAATAAAGCTCCCAGCATACTTACAAGTTTTTTCCCCATAATTCTGACTATAAATGACGGTTTTTAAAAGAGAGACAGTTATTTCTGATATTGTCCTAATATGTGTAATAAGCATAGTATGATTATTACAAAATAACCAGAAGATGGTCCAGCAGGATAGAGAATTGTATCATCTTTGGCAGGCTTGTTAGTGAGGCTCCACAATTAAGAAGCAAACATCTTAAATTGAAATAGCATGAAGAAAACAAGCAGTGGAAAAATCCTCCTACACATCTTGATCAAGTTCAGTGGAATCTTCAAAATACGCTTTTCTGTCCCTGCTGCTCCCTGCATTTAAAATTATTAGACTTAGAACCAGTTGCATACTGGTTCCTGCTAGGCAGATACAGCGAACAACCTGCCTTTCAAGTTTTACTAGTGGGATCTTTGCAGGAACTCAAACCTGGAAGGTTTTTTTGTTTGCTTGTTTGTTTTGTTTTATAAGAGGAAGGGTCTGTTCCTCTACTCATCTTTCCCAGAGAGAAAATGAACACTGTGGAATGTAACTATCTGGCTCTTTTCCCTTGACCATAGTATGACAACATTGTTTTTACCAAGAACATTAAGTTGTTCAGCAGTTGAATAATTTCACAGAATTAGTACAGATCTATTTTTTTTTTTTTAATTGCACCTGTGGGCACAGTCCAGAAATGAGATTTCCACAGTAATTCCTCCAGACCTTTTCTCTGCTGACACAGCATTTGAGTCTTGTTGACCAGAGGCTGGTTGGTGAGGTTTGGAAAAAAAAGAAAAACAAAGTATAGAAGGATGTTTCTGGTAAAATATGAATGTTATTCAAGACAGTCATATTTGCTACAACAGAAGTGAAATGTACCCCATACATCAAGTGAGATGAGTCAAGTGAATCTCTGGTATTGCTATTAAAACACATCCTTTTGAATGAGCCTCTACAAATGCAAGGACTCCTTGCCTCGACCTCCCCACAGTGGCCTTCCTCACTGCTTGCACTTTTGTCCCAGTCTCTAACTACCTCCAGATGGCAGGAGATTGTTTCCTCTCACTTGGTCCAAAAGAGCTCAACATTTGTGATTCTTCCTCCTGGAGCTATGTCTGAAAATTCATGAAGAACCAAACCAGTTTTAAAATGTCATTTAATTTCAACTACGTGGATTTACAAAGCTTTAAAGACATAGGCTTCAGAACTCTACATCCATAGTTCTCTTAGCCCCCCAGAACCTTAGTGAAGCTCACTCAGAGGAGCCTGCCTGGAATAAGAGAGCTACAAATAGCTCCTTAGCACTGTCCTCTGAATCTATAGCTATCCATCACCCTCCTGAACTCATGGGCATAGGAGTCATCTGGAGCAGAGGGCTCTCTGCTGAAGCTGCTGACACATCACCTTATTAGAGCGATTTTTCTTTTAGGTTCTCAGCCCTGGCAGTACAACTCCTCTGTGCTTTCTGGAGCCTGGGGGTAGTCTTTTCCCAGGGAACAGCTGAGGAAATCTTTAATGATTTCCTGCCACATTTACAGCTGATAACGTATCTCAAAGCATTGTGCTGACTTCCCACCCAATCCTGGTGTGCCTGTCAACTGCACAAAATCAGCAGGCACACACCAGCAAGCACCTCAGTAGCCCTCTCTGGTTATGCTGCAATTGTTCCAAAAAGAAGGTGCCATATCCATGAATTATGATCCAGATACTTACCTCATACATATTTCTATACGCATTTGGCATGCTCTTGTAAACGAGTGTTAGCACAGAGCCATACACAGTTACCTGTCCAGGATGACCACAGTGGTAGATCCTACAAAGACTTTGGGCCCTTTACATACTACAGACTGGGTGAAAACATGCTCTGCTGTTCTCTCTTTAGGAACTAGTGTATTCTACCTCATGTAACACATGTAAGAACAATTCCTTCACCTTAATAGCAGCACACTGAAGTGTTGCTCCAGTCCTGGTTAAGAGAAGCATCCAAGATATCAGTAAGCCATCAGAACGGCTCCAAATGATTGTCTGGTGACTGTGCACAGCAATTAGGTGTGCTCTATTGGAGAATCTTGGCATAAGCTGGCAAGAGGTAGGACACAAATGTGATTTCAATACCAGCTTCAGGAAAGAAGTTTAGCACCAGACTGCCTCAGCTGCTGGTTCCTGCTGTGACAGCTCTCAGCCATGGGAAGGAATCTTGCCCCAGCCATACAGGCTGTACAAGGCTGATTTCACTAGCTTGTCTCCTTGGGATGAGGTCCAGTAGGACTCGCACGCTCTTGAACTGTTTCTTCCCACTGCCAGGTGCCTGGCTGTTTCCTCCTCTGCAAGTTTTCAGTCTGCTAAAGAAAATGGGCTGCTTGCAAGCAGCATCAGCAAGTGAAGCAATGGGAAAATACCTCCTGTAGGATAAGGGTATGAAAGTGTGTGGTTTAGGACATCATAGGGCTAGGGGGGGCCAGAGTATCCCATGACCACTTGTCTCCTGGACTCTTTCAAACAATAATATTTAGAGTGCCTCATCATTTTTTCCACCAGGGGTTTGGTAGTGGAAGGTGTTGCCCAGGAGACACTGCAGGATGATAAAACTGTCTTGTCCAGAAAGATTGGGATGCTGTGTCGGGCTGGCACAGTCTCTGCTTGCTGCAAAGTCTGGGCTGTGTGCCCTTGGCTTGGGAAGGAAGGAGAGGAAACCCAAGACACTGATGTCATGGGGAAATCTCCCTCCAGCAAAACATGAGGCAGATATATTCTGGAAGATGCTGCTGCTGTGGCAGAGCGGCACCTGGATTTGCTCTGGAATGGGGGTAGCAAACTTTGACTTTAATAGGAACTTTGACTTTAGATTTGCCGAAGAGATGGCACAGACTGTCCTTATCACACAGCTTTTCCTAAGGAGATGAGTAATGTAGTAAAAACGTCCCTCTTCTTTTTCTTAATGAAGTTAGTGATGGCTTCATTGTATCAATGTATTGATTACTACTAGCACAATCACTGAGGAGATCATTGCAATGGAAGCAGTGCTATCAGCCAGCAGATCCTTTTGCTTACTGGAAAATCTCATGATCTGCTTCTGCATCATGCACATTTGCTAGTCATTAACTTTCAGCAACATAACTTTTCTTACAGGCACAGTCTGAATAGGTTAGGACTTCATTCACCCGCTGCTTGAAACTCCTGTGGAAATCCTGAGGGCTCAGCACGTCATACCAAATCTGGCTCTGCATAGCTCTCACAGCACGCAGCTCGGCATCCACCCAGTGTACATACAGTTCCTACCCTAGTAGACAAGCTGGGCTGTAACTTCAGCAAAGCCAGGAGCCAACATGTCTCTTAGAAACAAGACAGAGCTGTTAGATTGTATTTTGTCACTCCATAGCCACAGGTAGGAGAGCTGCTGGCTCTAAACCATCAAGTTGTACCTAGCTTCTGTGTACTCCGGTCTTCCTATGGCTCACATGCAGATGAATCAGCAACTTACTGCCACACCAGGGACAAATCTGCCCACAGAAAGTCCTGAAATACAGCCTACAGCTGAAATACAGCCCATGGGCTGCTTCCAGGCTAGGCAGCAGGTCCTGCCAAGGTGTCTGAGCTGCCTCCCACCATGCAGGAATAACCTGCTGCTGGGAAAACAGTGGGCATTTGGGCCATGGAGCTGCAGGTTGGGGCTGTGGGTTGCGCTTGGGGATTGGGAAATAATTAATAAGGTGTAGGAGAATGAGCGAGTCCTGAAAAAAAGAAAGAAAGAAAGCAGGAAAGGGGGAGGACAAGAATGCATAAGCAGAAGGGGAGGAAGTAGACAAGAATCATTTTAACTAAAACACAACACAGAAGCATGTGGAAATCCTAACAATGCAGGCATAGTCAGAGAATCAAAAGAAAATGATGTGAGCAACTAAATGAAGCAAGAGCAAGGTCAATTAGAGCTGACCTTGGGAACAACAGCAAAGAAGCTGGCACCATCAGCTCCTTACTAACACGCAGTTAAACTTCCTGGCTGATATTTTTGGAAGGGCAAGAAAGGGAAAGCAATCTGTTCCCTTAGCATGCTGATAGCACCAAGGCACCTAGCTGCTTTCTCTCAAGGACATACTCCACGGAGACGTAAGTTATCTCAAAAAATTGTTAACATGTTTGAAAGCAAGAGCAAAATGCTCACTTAAGCCTCTTTGCCATCCCCCTGGATTACTTTCTAATGTGCAGTTGCTTCCGGAGGGAACCAAACTCAATTGCACACTGTGAAGTGTGCTTAGATTTCCCCTGAGTTTGTTATTTATGCCATCAGGTAATGAACTAGCACAACCATATCTGCTGGTAACTGATTCTGCTCCTGACAGCCTCACCTGAGCACTACTGGGGGCAGCAAGATGGAACACCCAACACAGATATCAGTAGTGGAGATCACCCTCCCACCTTTCCATAGTATGTCCTCAAGGGGGATGTAGAGATGAGGGAATGCTCCTCATCTGGAAATGGCCACTGACTAACTCCCCTTACTTATCTGCTTTGCAGATAGCCTGTAGCATACATGCTCAGTGTGAGATATTCCCAGGCATCTCTTTCTGCCTTTGTGTGCATTGCACGGCATGGGAGGAGACTTCTGTCGAGGTACAGCTATACCAAGGAGCTCTAAGTCCAGCTGCATGGCTCTCTA